CAAATAACGTCATATAACGATAATAACCTACTTAATAATAAAGTCATAAGTGTATATTGTTTGTGAAATGAAATTTCTACTCACAAGAGACCAAACGATCCATCTAGAAAACCATAAACTACTCTTACAATATGCTTGTTGACTTAAAATAAGTAAATTAGTAATATAATTTTATTCATATATAAATTCGACTTATTTATATGCTCGAATAATTCATGTATATTCTCGAATAAAAGTACTTAACATAACTGGTTAATAAAATATACGGGATTTGAATAATTTCTTGACGTGAATTTATTACAAAGCTGACATAAAAAAATACTTACGATTGCCGGGATTTTTGAATCCCTGTATTGAATTGAAGAAATGATCACATATATGACATTTCTAACAAGTGAATAACTAAAAACGTCAATTAGAAGTTGAAATGGAGAAATTTTTTTATAGAGACGGTCCTTTATGTACGTATGATAAGATCATCCATCTGAGTGATGACACTTTTTTTTGTGTCCTAATTAATATTTGTTATATAAGACGGTCCTTTTGCTTACAAAGTCTGCATGTGTGTTTTGTGCTTTTAAAGTTTATAAATAAAAATTAAATATGACATGAAAACAAGTTTCCTTATTTGAGCGAAAGTTTTACCACGTGTACATTTAGGACAATCCTATAGAAGTTTTTCTGCTAAGGTGCGACAAAATAAAAATGAGGACTAAAATTCTAATTAATGAAAATTGAGTACTCAAGTGTTACATTACCTGATAAGTTAGTGACCTCCATTGCAATGTTCCTTAAAAACAAAGAAATCCTCAATCTTCAAGCATCATAGTTGAAAATCAATCGACTTATTTTCACTGCAACAATCTTACAATTTGCAACAAATTCTTAGATACTGCACAAATAGATAGCTGTTGATCAATATTGAAGAAAGGGGTTGACTTTGCAGAGTGGCAAACTGTGCTTCAGTAGTTGTACCTCACTCGATCAGAACTTGCAATGGGATCGGGAATCCAATCACCGGAAATGTGGAGAGGCAAATCGGTTTCGATTTTCATTGTTTTTGGGTGCATAGGCGTTCTCAGCAGTGCTTTCAATGGTGCTCTTGCTGCAGTACCCGAATTAGGATCCACTCGCGTTGTCTTTCAGGTATTGGATTTATGTATTTATGTGTGTGTGTTTTAATTGGTTCAGTGTTGATCACTTGATCCTGGATGATTTTGAAATATTGGGATAATTAGTGTAGATAAATTCATACATTCGTAATTGTGAATGCAACATTAATGTTTGCATGTTCAATGGAAAATGACCGAGTAATGGCGTTTTCTGGTTAAGTTTGTTTATTTTTTCATTGGTTAGAAGAAAGTTGAATTCTTGAACCTGGGACTATACATCTTTGAGTTAAATCATTAAAAAGGTGAGAATTTCAAATTATATTTTGATTTCCAACTTATAACTTGGTTATCTTTCTGAATTTGAACTTTTCATATTACTGTTTCATCGAACATTTTCTGAGTGAGTTTTCATGCCTTAAGAGTAGTAATTTTTTTTTTATTGAAGCAAATTTGATCTTCCAAGCGGTGGAGACAAGAAATCTTGCTGTTCAACTAAAAAAAGGGGGATAAAAGGTTAAAACACATAGAGAGTTGTCCTAAAAGAAAAAAAAACACTTTTGAGAGCGAAAAGATTTACTTGATTTAACTTGCTATTATGATAATACGGTTTCAATGTAGTGTCATAAGCTGCAATGTAGAGTTTAATGTATGTTTTGTTGATTTAGTGTGGATCAATAAAAAATGGTCATGATCTTGCTTTTCCTTTTCATATATGCTGTTATCCCCGAGGTTTTTTGAATGGTATGATGTGCTTCTTATGCAGACAAATTATGGGGACATTGAATTTGGTTTCTACCCAAGCGTTGCACCAAAAACAGTTGAACACATCTTCAAGCTTGTTAGACTGGGATGCTATAATACCAATCACTTTTTTCGGGTGATACTTTGAACTGAGAAAAGTTAAATCTTTTGACATGTTGATTATGATAATGCAAAGTGACTGACGGAAATTGTTGACTGTAAAGGTAGATAAAGGGTTTGTTGCCCAGGTAGCGGACGTCGTTGGAGGAAGAAGTGCTCCTATGAATGCAGTGCAGAAGTTGGAAGCTGACAAAACTGTTGTTGGTGAATTCAGCAACGTCAAACATGTAAGAGGTATTCTTTCCATGGGAAGGTAAAGTCTTTGCTGCTAGGAATTTTCATCACTTGTAAATTTTATAGACTTCTTTCTCCTTTTCAGTTTATATAGATATTATAATTAAGCCTTTGTTTGAAAGTGGTTTTCTGAAAATCACTTTTTTCCACTCATTTTCAACTACACCTTCTTCAAAAAAAATCATTTTCACGTTTCCCCATAACTTTTCCCACTTTATAACCACACATTCTCCAAAAAAAATCACTTTCGAACAAGGGCTACATAATAATTACTTGATTTCACTGGGATTCTGTAGCTTCAAATTTCATTTACGAATAACACAAGGGAGTTCGTGTTTAGGCATTTAGCTATGAATATTAATGTGGAACTTTGGGAAACGAAAATTTTGAAGGGCAATCTGCTAAACATCCTTCGAATATGTTTAATCTTTCCACACGACATAATTCTCAAATGATAAACCTTAAAATCTTTTCATTAGTTTCATAAATAACGTCAATTCATGGGGTGAGGGTGCCTGCTAATATTTGTGCCATCATCGTGGATGTTGGGATTTGGTGGTTTAATCTGTTCAGCGGCATTCATATTTTGCACCATAAATTGCACAAGATGCGTTATAACGAGCAAGATGGAAAACTAAAGTATTGGTATGTATTCATTAGTTAAAAATCAAAACAATTTTCTAATAGTATGTTAAGTTACCTCTTACTGCCATTACATTTTATAAATTCATGTTTGCTGTGCTTTGTCATAGATATTCTGACCCAGACAGTGGAGCATCCTCCTTCTCAATGCTCCTTGGAGATGCCCCTCACCTTGATGGCCAGGTATGCTGAAAAAGTTTATTTTCCCTTTATTTTGTTCGTGTATTCCTGATGGATTGTATCACATATGGCATATAACTTACTGAATGCTCTTCAGTATGCTATATTTGGTAAAGTTACAAAAGGTGATGAAACTTTGAGAAAGCTTGAGCAACTCCCTACCCGGAAGGAAGGAATCTTCATAATGGTAAATTTTATCATTTTTAAATATGATTTAATCTACATATACTGGAACGTGCTTTAATTACATATTTGTTCCTGCTTCTCAACATGTATATCAGAGTCATGTTGAATAGAGGCATGGACTGCCTTCAACTATGCTTCTACCCTTTCTGAATTGCTTACCAATTGATAGCTTGCTTCCGTTTATATTGTAGAATGTAATTGGAAAATAGAAAACTTATAAAGATGCATTTGTTCCCTATCCTCAATGATGTGGCTTATTCATTAATGTGCTCTCCCAGATTTGGAGTAACTTGTCAACTGTGATAAATAATTCAATCTGTAATCCCTTCAATTTTTAAATATCGCCGTTTAATGCAAGATTTGCCAAGTGCTGTTCAGAGATTTTCTGAATAGTGTTTCAGATGTTATTTTTAGTTTGCTCCTAACAAATTTATGCTTCTGATTCAAGTTAATTCTTGATAGTTATTTTTCTTTAACCAAACGTGTTACTATTATTTGGCTTCTATTTAATTACTCATTAACACAGTTTCCTATTTCTTTCTGATGTTTGTTTTCTGCCAAAAGCTTACTTCCTCCCTTTTTTTCCAGCCAACTGAGCGCATCACAATATTGTCATCATATTATTATGGTAAGAACTCATCATCCTAAAGGTCATTTGCAGTTTTTGTGGCTATATTCGAGACTTGGGCATGCATGGGAATACCAACATGCAGTTCTTTAATGGGTCCATCTAGAAAAAAAAATCTGTGAGATTTGACTAATCAAATATCACAGTTGCCAAACTATAGTATTTTGTTTATTGTCGTCGTAAATAATGCAGGATGTACTAGTTTAATTGTTGCCTTATTTAGTTCAAGTGGTAATATTATGTAACTTTAGTGTTTTTTTTTCTCTTTCTTCCTTTAATACTTCAAATAGTTCAATCACTTGAATTAGACTGACCAAACTCTTCTTCGATAACTGTCCTTTGAATCAACATTGTACCAGTCCTCGTCATCATAACTTCTTTACATTTATTCTTTAGTCCTGATAACAATTATTCAACGTTCAATATAATAGGGTCAATATAAGATTGTTTTTGGTTTTCTTGTTTTCCTAATCTCGCACGTGTTCTTTGATGTGGTCATGTTTTTTTAAAGGAACAGTTGCTTTTCTGTCCAGCAAGGGTTCAGTATTTTTGGACCTTCTTTCTTACAACACTATTTCAAAGTAAACAGAAAGTTTGTGAATCATGTATCTGAACAATCATGTTGCAATTTGGATATCCTTATTTTATTATGAAGCAAAGTAATACTTTGATTATCCTTTTCCTTAGATTGTTAGGTCAAATGTCTTGCAGCAGTTTTTCGTGCTGGAGTCAACAAAATTATTCTTGTCTTTTCTTTCCACCTAAATTAAGTCTTCATTAATCCAGTCTGTCATTCTGTAAAACTCTTATCGCTTCTGGAAAGTATCGCTTATTGTGATTTGTTGTAGATACTGAGGCAGAAACTTGTGAGGAGAACAGGCTAATGTTGAAACGGAAGCTTGTTGCTTCTGCTGCTGAAACTGAAAAACAGGTATTCCACTACTATCATTATTCAGATTTTGTTTTGTAAGAAATACATTTAGGTTTTGATTTTGACCAAGGAGTCTTCCTATGGACAATGCAGAGAATGAAATGCTTTCCATAAACCGGTGAGAAAAATTCAGGCCAACCGGATTGCTATTCCCTTTGCTGGGTGAATATAAGGGGCAGGTATTTGTTTGGTATAGGATTTAGTATTCTCAAGATATATAGTGGCGATAATTGTCTTCATATACGAGGGCAACGATAATTAAATGTCTTCAATACACACCAAATAAGTTGTTTGTTCTTTTCTGTTAACTAAAAACGCGTTTATAAAATTTCAATTTCTTGTTCCCTAAAACAGCAGCAATGTATTGAGACTAACTGAACCACCTGTCTTAAAATTTAGAGCTGAATCCAATGCCTTTTTTTTTGTGAGTAATTGTTCTTGCATAATTATCGTGTTCCATTTCTACATGTTCATGTTTAATAGCTGGATCTGGATCTGGATCGTAAAACTTTCTTGGTTGCCCAAAATTTACCATGATGATCAAATTGATGAGTAGTTATCTTTCAGTGAGAAGGTATTTAGGCAATACACAAACTATTACAGATCCAACATTACCCCCGAACAAACTACTCGAGTCCATTCACCACATATGATATCTCGACAGTGCAAATGTTTTTCGTTTTCCTTATATATTACCACAAACAATTGAGACTTATAGTATCATTAATGGAAATTTCATTGTGCTTTAGAATGTTTTTGCAGTGCCAAAAGTAATCTTTTGTTGTATTTTAATATACCATAATTTAATGACCACCTTTGCTTGGGAGTGCAAGGTGATTGTTAAATGGTATTGATTAGTCTTGTGTGTTTTTCTTTATGTTGCTTTATTTTTTTCTCGATCCCAACTAGTCCTTAGAAAATTGCTATTTGATGCACGGTCCTCCTTATTTCTGTTCATTTCAAACCAGAATCCCATCAATGCACCCAATTTAGTAGTATTAAAAATATGTCAGGATGCCCCAGTGAGGTCTGGCACAGTCCATACAGTGGGACGGTATACCCCTAAATCCATATCGGGAGAAAATAGGCTTGAACATCAAAAGAAATAGTTGACACATGATCGACACAGCACAATACAAGCTATGCTTTGCCTAGTAAGGCAAGCACGGCCTTGTTGACAGGGTGACTCGACAAGGTCCGATTCATGCTTATAATGCAACTAGATAGATATTTCAAAGTGTTGTCATCCAGCGATTGCACAATGTGTCTAATGATGAATTAGGAGGAAACACACAACATGGTAGAATATTAGCCTAGTACTCTGTGTGTGTGAGTGTGAGGTTCCTCTGGCGGAGTATGGGGTGGGTGGGATGAGATGTCTATCTTTGACAATGCCTATAGTTATGTATAGCTACATGGGTTGTTGGGTGTATTCACTAAGGACAGGACTGCACATTATATGGGAAAAAGACAACAGCAGTCATGTGGGCACTCTTTAACAACTTGTACCAAACAGGAATCAGATTCACCCTCGGAAATGTATGTGCATTTATACTTCTATTAGTTTTAGTTTTTTGAAATTTTTTTGGTGGATTCTTGTGAATTGTTGCAATTTATCACTATAATATATGCAGAACTCATAATTTTTGATACATACGAATATGAACTTTTTCGAGGACAGCTTACACAATTGTGTCAAGTTTAAATATATGGTTGATTCTGTGTCACCTCGTCGATAACGAGTTATGAATAAGTCATTTGAGTCGATGAAAGAATTTTTTCAAATACACTCATGCTGCTTTGTTCCTTGTAAAGCAAACATAGTATATATGTTGAGGTCTTGGAATCAATTGATAATAATTTATATGCAAAAAGACATTCATGTGACTTGCTAAGTTCTTCGATAACATTTAATGGGTTCATGGCTATAAATTCTACAACTTCATTGTCGGGAAATATTGAAGAATGAGTTTTGACTTTAAATACTTGATGCTTGTTTGATAATACTTTGTTAAATTTTATCGACTTTTCAACTGATCAAATTTCAATTTTAACCATATATTTCATGGAACCCACAATTTTTATCATCTTTACAACCACATGTTTCATCAACCTTTCAGATTTTGCTAAAACTTGTATCATGAAGTTTTGTCTAACAATCCCTTGAGAAAATGTAAGTGACACAATGGTCTTAATGATACAATTTGTTGATATTCAACCTATGTCTCTTTCATTTGTAAAGGGAAAAAAAGCTCGAGTAATTGACCGTAGAGTTTAACTTTATGAGTTGGTACCTGAATTTAAGTTCTAAATTAGAATGAGTAGAGTTGTAAAAGTGTATCGAAGTATTCGAGATAACTTTTAACACATTTACGCTTAGTTCAGGATAGACTCTGTTGGGCCTACATATAGAGGCTAATGCCTCGATCATCTAATAAAGACAGAAGGAGAAAGAAGACTACTCACTAAACATTCCCAACGGACCTAGTCCCATAAAACATTTGCTATCCACCACTTAGAAACAAAAAGAAATCTACTAATATTCAAAGATATCAAATTAGACTCAACATATATAGGCTGTATCTGGGAGCACTTTTTCAAACCAATTAAAATCATTTTTATAGCCGTTAACAGCAAACCAGCAGCAATAATTGACTGCTCCACTCACAGCTAGGGCTCAGAAATTGACTGCAACGGTCCAATTTTTCCATTGCAACGGTTGTAATTACAATTAAAATTCCAACCAGACACACGCATAATATAAAATAAGAAGAGATTCTTGATCGATCGAGTCTATTTGTAGCAATTCAATAGTGAATCTTGATATCCGTGATGTTAAATTCGATCGAACTTGAGCTTAAACTCAAATAGTCCAATCAACGATCATAAATCCCTTCAAGATTATTCATAATTTTGCCCAATAGACCCAAAAATTATGGTGAGTTATTAAGAAAAGTGTTTTTAATTTTTCATATTGGGGCTTCAACTATTTTTATATGTAAAATAGAAACTCCCAAGAATCTCTTGTTGCAAACTCCCAAGCCCTCATAGTGTCCACAAAACTGAAGCAGGAATCCCGCTGGAAAAAGTGTGCAACATATCCCAATCATATGTGGCAGTGTAACACCCCAATGCATCCACACAAATTTCACAGTTTCATATCAAACAAAATTGAGACAACATTTCAACTATAGATAACCTCAATTGTTTCAAATCATTATGATCAGTGTAATAAATAATGTCGTTTGACGATACGTTGGCACTTAAACGCACCACATATAATTTAACGTTATCATTTTTAAATGAATGATCACGAGTGTAATATTTAGAAACTTAACTCTCTCTTTTTGCAAAAAAAAAAAAAAATGTAACTTTGACCATTGACATAATTACTTAAAAACGTCAATGACCAATAATGTAATTAACCCTTTTAGTGGCTTTTAACTATTGATAGATGAAACGAGTAATATTGTATTGAGATAAGATGTTTGGCTTCATTAGGCCAAACTTTTGATACTCCAGCATAAAAAATATACTAATATACAATTATAAATAATAAAGTCTCACATGTTTTGACCGGTTAACTGATCGGCGATGCTTGCAAAACCCTATAGGTACATAGGTAGAATAAAAACTTGCTTATTTACAACTTAAATAAGTAAATTTTGTTTGGAAAATTGGCTCATAAGCAGCAAAAATTGCATCTAGTAAGTGCAAGAATTTGGCTCATGTGAAAACCATGAATTTGTAATGTTAGGCAATGAAAGCTGACAATTTATAGTGGCTTGGAATAGTATTCTACCATGATTTGAAGACTTTTGTATATTGCATGCAACCTTCCACAATCCTAATTTGTTGAATTTGGTAAGATTTGCATGCAAAAATTATGCACATTGTTGGACATGAAGCACTATAAATAGAGGTGCTTGCTCACTGCCAAAACACACCAAGAAAGGGAGAAAGATATGTGTAACACTCAAAAGATCTCTTTGAAGATTTTTCAAATAGTAGAATAGTTTTGAGAGGTAAAGTTTAGTGAGTGATCTTGGACAATTGGGGTTTGGTGTGTGTTGTAACAATTTTTCGTATAGTGGAAAATGTCCGTCTTCGATTGTTCGTGATTTTTCTCTTGTTTTTTTACATTAATCCTTGTATTCTTTCATATTTATTTTCTACTTTCTTAATATTTTCTCAGTGAGGAGGAATAAATCTGGAAACTGTACAGTTCCTAAAAGAGGTGTTAGATCAAGGTCCTTTGTTGCTTTGTGTTAATGGATATAATCCCATATCGAATAAAGATGAAAACATAAACCAACTTATAAAGAATTGGATTACTCCTCTTAATAAGGTTGACCTTTTAAGATGAAACTTCAAATTTTAACATGGTATCAGAGCCCGTTAAGCTCTAACGAGCAATTCGATCCGATTAAGACTCAAATAAATTAAGCACGCGAATTTCAAGATTGGTCTGCTCGAACGAACCACCATCTTGCGGGAGCATGTTAAGGGATAGAATCTTATATCGAATAAAGATGAAAACATAAACAAACGTATAAAGGATTGAATTACTCCTCTTAATAAGGTCGATCTTTTAAGATGGAACCACAAATCTTAACACTTTGTATTATAGTGTGTATATACGTTCTGTCTGGATTTTAAATGGGACCATTGTGAATCTTCCCGTCTTTTCTGAGAACTAATATAGTGGGTACTAATGTACTATTTATCATTTACATATACATTCATCAAACTAAGATCACAGAGCAGAAATGTCAGGTGCGAAGTTCGATGTTGAAAATTTTTACAGAAGAATTAATTTTTATTTGTGGCAAGTGCAAGTCAAAGACATATTAATTCAATTTGGATTGCACAAGGCTTTGAAAATGAACCCAATCCTAGTTCCAACAAAGATGCTGAAACATGCAGCGACGAAGAGTAAGGAAATCTGGATTTGAAAGTTACAATACTTTGTTCTTGGCTAAGAATGTTCTTCCAAATGTACATGGAATTTCTATGACAAAGGAGCTGTGGGAAAAACTCAAAGAGCTGTATGAGACGAAGAGCATTTCAAATCGATTATACTTGAAGGAGTAATTTCATTCTTTGCGAATTAA